TTAAAGTCGCAAGCACAGCTCTGGCCTCACGTAATTTAATTTGGAACGTGTTTATTTTCTCCAGATGTTTATATTAGAATAGTATATTCTCTGAAGCTGTACTGGGTCAAGGTCCTGGGCCCTCTGTACATCCTGGAATCATAATTTCCTAACAAGAACTGACATGTTCTGACACAAAGTGGCTTGGAGCTCCTTTCCTTCTGTCCACACGCTTTAGAAAAAAGAAAAAAGAAAAAGAGGGTGTTTGCAAATGGCAAAGACAGCACAGACTTTAAGGTCAAAAGTCAACTTCTGCTTTCTTATCTGGGAGATTTCTGTAATAATTAACTTACTCCATAAGGATATTCTGAGAACCAAATGGCAGACTCTCTGTGCAAATTGCCGTATAATACTAATGGTATAGCTCCAGCCACATTTCTCCTTTTAAAATGGCTGCGGGTGCCCTGGTGGCTCAGTTGGTTGAGCATCTACCTTCGGTTTAAGTCATGATCCCAGGATCCTGGGATCGAGCCCCATGTTGGGTTCCCTGCTTAATGGGAAGTCTGTTTCTCCCTCTGGCCCTCCCCCTGCTTGTGCTCTCTGTCTCTCTCTCTCAAATAAATAAATAAAATATTTAAAATAAATAAACAAAATAAAACAGCGGCCTTAAGCCAAGCACACAAGATCGTCCGCTTGGTGGATTATCACTTGTTATAGTTACTTCTCTCTGGCCTGGGTGCATATTAAAAGCAAGGCTATGGCTTTTTTTTTTTTTTAACCTCAGTTCCTGCAGCATTCAGCATTCTAGCTGATGCGTAGCAGGTGCTGGCATATGTGTTTAAATGATGCTTTCAGAGGAAGCACGAACATTGATTTCAATCCTACAGACAATGGGCCAGGAGTGTCATGAGACTAGATAGCTTTAATGCACTTGTCTCCTTTTATAGGCCACTGAAAGATGTAAAAATTACTGCTGTGGGCTTGGTACCCAAGAGTTTGAAGTGCAGGTACTGATTAGGGATCAGTAGCCGTGGAAGCAAGGGGTGGGGAAGCAAGCCTGGGCACAAAGACATGCAGAGCTGGCATCCCTCCATCAACCCAGTGGCCCGTCCTGGAGCCAGGATGGCCTGCTAGTGCTATCTTCCATCAGGCCAGGATAACCAGGCTCTTAGACACCCCCATCAGTTCCTGGATCTAAGCCACCCCTGGAAGAACATGCCCTTGGACAAGGTGACTCTGTAGCTGAGGCGGTTCCTGAAGGGATGGACAGCTGGGCCAACACATCCCTCCTTGGTGCATGTCCATATTCACTGCAGTCACCAAATTTAAAGGTACTGTCTACCACGTGAGAAGACAGTATTAATATTTGAAGACACAGAATGACTTTACTCAACGAGAAATTGGAAATTCCATTCATAATTAAATTAAAGAAAAGGCCAATGCTCTTACAGATTTATGGTAGAATATATGAAAACGTTTCGTTAACATACTGAAGACTTAAAAGAAGACATTGATTCCTTGGCATGTGATGTCATTCTCTTAAGAAATACCGTCCTTTGGCAAGTAGCTGCTGGGTTTTCTGTTTGTGCACCAAAACGAGCATTTCTAAGCAAACTCTCCTCCCATTGTGTAATGATATGGCCATGTGCAGAGCCTCTTTTCCCAGATCCAAGCCTCTCCAATGTTCTAGTTCCTGGAAGGAGTGCCCATGTCTATCCACCACGATGTGGCCACGCCCTGGGGCCACGAAGGGGGTCAGCATCAGCAGGATATGGTTTGCCTTTCTGATGGAAGCCTTCCCAACAGCCTGACCTCCATGCGTTTGGTGTTCCATATTGGGCAGCTGTCTTGCTCAAGTGTGTGTTTCAGCAGGACCTGAAGAAGTGGCCAAAAGCGCATCTGGACCTTAATTCCTCTGATGTCACAAGGAAGAAATGAATGTCCTCAAAGAGTTCCCCAGTCATAATATGTACACAGCCCGCTCTACCTAATACAAAATAATATGTTAGATGGATTAGCAAGCACTTGAGGTTAGAAGAAAATCAACCATTATTTCATCAGGACTAAGGAGGGCTGATTGGTCCTTCATTCTATGCTTCTGGGAAAGTTTAGAAGCTTACGTGAATAAGACTTAAGACACTGGTCTGTGAATCTCAAGTCCATAATCCCCTCTATGTTCTGGTGCAGTGTTAACTATTATTAGTGCTTATAAATGATGAGGGTAAAATCAGCTTACAAGAGATTGCCCTCCACCACTATAGATTATCATACAGATTTTAAAGATGTCAGCTACTAAGAGAACATATTTTGATCTTCCTTTACTCATGCATAGCAAATGGGGAAGATGGGTGAACATTCCTTAGGTATTCTGGGAGTAGTGTTTTTAACTGATCAATGTTTTCATTTGGTTCTCTCTCAATCCTTAGGGGTGGACATTAAAATAAGGCTAAATATGTTTAATTTCTAAAAGACATAATACAAATTCCATAGTAACTCAATATCCAATAATGTCTAAATTCCCTCGGTTCCCAGGGCTATTTTGAGGTCTTTAGGGAAAATGTAGTTCTTTTTCCTCTTTCTCAGCCTTGATATGCCCCATTAAACTTTATTCTGTCTCTCTTACTCTTTTCCAGTCCATTCACCATACTCAGCATCCAAGAGCCTGAAAAGACTGAGAATCTGTTCACAGGTGGGGGAAGGGAAATGCCCATGGCTGTGCAGCAGGAAGCCCGGGTTCTGGTTCTAAATCCAAGACTAGGTGTGCGCATTTGGGGAAATTCCTGGACTTCTGCAGGTCTCCAATGGCTCATCTGTTTAGGGAGAGAAGAGAATAGATGCCTCCTATTGCCACTGTTCTATGATTTTCTAGTCTTCCAAGCATATTCTGTTCATGTCTATGGGGAAAGCCTTGACAATAGGCTATGCAATGGGATTCAATGGGAGTATTTTCTATGGCTTCCAGGGAATTTGGAAAATATGAGTCACATTAAGTACCCCCTCCAGTCCCAAATGGGTAGTAAGGAAATAAAGACCGGAGTTTGGGGTATATGACTCTCAAAGCAAATTGAGTTTTCAAAGCCAGGAAGAGCTATTTTAAGGCTAGAAGTATTATTTTCACTCTTTGATTAGTGGCATGAAAGAATAGCTATAAATGTGACCAGCAGTTACTACTTTCATTATCAGTTAAGGATAACCATTTAACTTTAGGTATTAAACTTAATTCTTTTTTATGACAAAATTTCTCTTGATGTAATGATCCAAATTGCCATTTCACATTTGCCTTCAAAATGGGGAGACCTCTAATTAGTGAACCAGCTGGATCCATCACCATGAAGGTTAAGATCAAGGTCAAGATTTAATAGCATTCGTTTTATTCTGTCCCAAAGTCACAAATACAAATTTAACCCTGCTGGCTTTCTAAAGAAACGTGTGAAAGCTATATCCTAGAGAGTGTACAAAACCATCATCTCTACAGGAAAAGTAATTCGCAGGTTGACTATATGAGCAGTGGGGTGCACTGTCATCTCCGGTGAACCAAGACAGCATGGTGTCAAGGTTGCCATAGAAACTGAGTCGCCAACCTAGGGTAGCATTGTGGTGCCTAATGCGGGCATAGCATTATGCCAGCCCCATGATTATCCTCATAATGCCCAGGGATATTATTGGACCTGGAACACTAGACTGTCAATGAATGGCACAGAAACCATCGTTGGTGAATTCTTTTTCCTCCTGGTCTTTCATTATTGGATACTTACTCTTTTCTGAGAAAAGTGAAGAGGTTAAAAAAGAGATGACCTCTATTTCATCCCATAGTGCCTAAGGAAGCCAGAATACAACAGATTTTACACTCATTCAATAAGCTACTTTCTGAAACTAAAAAACAAATTTCCTGAGCCCCCATCACCCTTGTCTATTGATTTCAAAAAATGTCCTCGCCATGCATTCTAGAAAAACCCCATCTCCCTCTTTTTCTGGACCCCTCCCCCATCATGCTCCATAGGGGATGCATTATAGTTGAATATTTAGTAGGAAAATGCAATGCTCACACAGCCACAATTTTGAAGATACTGTCTTTTTATTTCACAACAGGGGAATAACTCAAATTTTGAGTCTCAAGGACCAAAATAGAGTCGAGCCAAATGTTCAAAAGATGAGCCAGGCCACCATTTTGGCAGCAAGCTTCACATGGACAAGTGGATGGTAGACAATGATGCCTGCAACATGGCTAAAGCTATAGCACACCCACAAATAGATTCATACTTGGTTGTCTAATTTGCATGCATGAGTATAGTGCATTCTCCATGCCACTAGCACATATATGCCTCTTTCAAAGTCAGTGCAGGATCCGTATCTGTGCAGGTCTTTAAAAATCCCTTACAAAATTTTACCATAATTTAACTGCAAGAGCCTTCAGGTGGCAAATTCTGCATGCCACTTTTACTTCTTGAAAGTCATTGCTGAATAATAATGACCACTATCAGGAGTTCCAACATCACATAAGAGAATCCATTTGTTAGTTATTTTAATGTCAGTTAGCTGGCTGTGAGTGAGCCTGGCTACACGTCTCCAACCTGCTTGGTGCCTGGAATTTGCCATCGGTCACCTTTAGCAGCGATGGCAACCTTAGACCAAAGGACAGAATCAGAACTAAACCGAACCAACCCAGATGGTATCGCAGAAAGAGCTGGACTCTGCTGCTTTCCAGAATGAATGCTTCCCTAAGATACACCGAACTGTGACAGCCTGACCCATTCGGGCATGGGCATGGGGGCAGGGGGGCAGGGGGCGCCACTTTCCCTGCTAAGGCTGGAATTGTTGGAAACCCAAACAACTTTCAGCGCCAAGGGGGCAAATGCCTGAATCTGAAAAGGAACCAAAAGAAATTGTACCAGAGAAAGGAGACAGGGATGGAAGACCAGTTCCCAGAGCATCTCTCTCTGTCAACAAGCACTGAGTGTCTTTATTACTAGAATATGCAGAAACCCGTGGGAATCGCTGTATCTTTTTTTTTTTTTTCTTTCTTTCTTTCCCTTAACTCTTTTCTTGCCAGTCCTTCCCTGGCCTGTTGAACTGACTCGGTGAGGGAGGAGGTGGTCTCATCCAGAAGCCACTCAGTGGAAGGCCTCACGAGCTGCACTCCTCACAGTGACAGGAGAGGATGTACCGGTAGGTGGCCGTGAGCCGCATGCCCCCCGAACAGCGCAGGCGCAGTGCCTTCAACTTGGAGGTCTGAGGCCGGCAGCAGTGACAGGAGGAGCGGAAAGGCTGCTTGAGGACAGTGCTGAAGGACACCAAGGGCTCAGAGCGTGACGCCTGGCTGCAGTGCCCCTCGCACCTGGCCAGAAGCACCATCTGGGGAGAGAAGAGACAGGGTTACCCTGTGGGGAGACCAAAACCTCAACCAGGTCCCACGGCACCCTAACACTCTTTGCCGACTTCCAGTGGTTTAGACCAGTGGTTCTCAACCCTGGTTGCACCTTAGAATCACCTGGCAAACTTAGTTTTAAAGCATTGACACCCAGGGGGTGCCTGGGTGGCTCAGTGGATTGAGCCACAGACTCTTGGTTTTGGCTCAGGTCATGTTCACAGGGTTGCAGGATAGATCCTTGCCTCAGGGTCTATGCTCAGTGGGGAGGCTGCTTGAGATTCTTTCTTCTTCTTTTTTTTTTTTTTCTTTTTTTTTTAAAGATTTTTATTTATTTATTTGAGAGAGAGACAGTGAGAGAGAGCATGAGTGAGGAGAAGGTCAGAGAGAGAAACAGACTCCCCGCGGAGCCGGGAGCCCGATGCGGGACTCGATCCCGGAATCCAGGATCATGACCCGAGCCGAAGGCAGTCGTCCAACCAACTGAGCCACCCAGGCGTCCCGAGATTCTTTCTTCTTCTCCCTCTGCCCCACCCCCTGCTCATTGTCTCTCTCTCTCTCTCTCTCTCTCTCTCTCCCTTTCTCTCAAAGAAATAAATTTAAAAAATAATAAAGCTTGGGCTGAAGTAAGAGAGGCTGTGTGTTCTTTATAGTGGCTTTTAATGTGGCTATAGTAAATGGACTTCTTTTAGAATCGGATGCAAATTACCAAGGTTATCCCCAGAACAATGGACATAGGCAAACACTTAGTGTTTGCCTCCAGCTTAAGGGGGTGGAGCAGAGGCTCATTTCTGTCTCCCATACATACATCTGGGTTTCCTGGGAGTGGCAGTTATGGGTAGGGGAGGGGGGCAGCTTGATTATGAATTAAAAGAAGGCCACCAAAAAACATGAAATCTTGGGGCACCTGGGTGGCTCAGTCATTAAGTGTCTGCCTTCGGCTCAAGTCATGATGCCAGAGTCCTGAAATGAAACCCCATATTGGGCTCCCTGCTCAGTGGGGAGCCTGCTTCTCCTTCTCCCACTTCTCCTGCTTGTGTTTCCTCTCTCGTTCTCTCTCTCTCTCTCATCCAAATAAATAAATAAATAAATAAATCTTAAAAAAAGAAAATATTTTTTAAAAACTGAAATCTTGCCATTTGCAATGATGTGGATGGAACTAGAGGGTATTACTCTAAGTGAAAGAAGACAATCAAAGAAAGACAATTATCATACAATCTCACTGGTACCAGGAATTTGAGAAACAAGACAAAAGATCATAGGGGAAGGGAGGGGAAAATGAAACAAGATGAAACCAGAGAGGGAGACAAACCATAAGAGACTCTTAATCTTAGGAAACTGAGGGTTGCTGGAGGGGAGGGGAGGGAGGGATGGGGTTGCTGGGTGATGGACACTAGGGAGGGTATGTGCTATGGTGAGCGCTATGAATTGTGTAAGACTGATGAATCCCAGACCTATACCCGTGAAACAAATAACACATGATATGTTAATTAAAATAATAATAATTAAAAGAATTAAAAGAAGGAAGTGGTCTACTCATCTTTCTTAAAGGAAGACAAGATGACTTCTGGTCATTATAGGTTATTGACATCATTATCAAAGAAGATGTTGGGATGAATCCAAAGATAGGATATGAGATACCAGGAGGAACCAGCAAGGTTTGGTGAAGTTGGAGTAAGACCTACCGATTTATTTTCTTTGAAAGATCGCAGAGGTAGAGAGAAAATGGCAACTATGAACTGTTTCGAATTTGTCAAGGCTTCAGTGCTATCCTGCCCGCTCTTTATGTGGACAGGCAAAACACACATGATCTGAAATAGCTTTTGAGAGATTATGCCATAGATCAGTAGTACGTGGGCCAGTCCTCTGCGCCTACTCCTTCCGTCTAATGAGAAGGAGCCCAAGGTCTTCCCCAGCCCCTTCTCGCTATACCTGCCGGTTTATGAGAAGAGCTCCCTGACAGCTCACTTCAAAGTACTGTTAAATGTGCCATCTCTAATGTGGGCCATCAGATTAAGCAATATTCAAAGGTCACCTCTCCAAATGAAATCTTTAGAGATCCAGCTTCAGTCCAGATGAATATAGTGAACCTGTGTCAACACACTTAATTCCAAGAGGCACAGACATGGTGGTGTATCTCACCAAAATGACACACACGCAGATGACCCGGATGTAGACCTGGAATGACCTGGCAGTTAGCACAGCCCGTAAAGTGACTGAGTCAGTGATGCTGGGCCATTTGTAGAAGGAATGACCTGATCGTGATTTCACTAAGCATTTTCAGGGTCTCAATCTCCACCTTCAGCTCATTCACTGAAGACCCTGGGGCCACCTCCAATGGGTCCCTCTATCTCTGGAGCTGGACTTTTGGGGCAAAGAGAATGCACATACATGTACATACAATAAACACATTCAGGGCACCTGGGTGGCTCAGTTGGTTAAGCCTCTGCCTTCAGCTCAGGTCACGATCTCAGGGTCCTGGGATCAAGTCCAGCATTGGGCTCTCTGCTCGGCAGGGAGCCTGCTTCCTCCTCTCTGCCTGCCTCTCTGCCTACTTGTCATCTCTCTCTGTCAAATAAATAAATAAATTCTAAAAAAAACCCAACCAAACAAACAAGCACAAACAAACCACATTCAGTGGCTGCCTGATGCCTTTGGACTCAAGTCCAAAATCCTGAATTGGTATTAAGATCCTCCATGACTTGGATTTCACATCTTTCCAGTCTTACTTATAACTGTTCTCATTTTTGTCACCCACTCCATTGCAACTGTTCTAGTTCTCATTACTCCCTATTCTAATCAAGCTCAATCACTTAAAACTTATGGAACTGCCCTGAATTTCCCTGCCTCTTACCTTTGCTCATGTCTTTCCCCCTCTCAGGAATGCCCTTTCCTCCTAGCTCTGCTTAATGAAATCCCAACTATCCTCCATTGTCAAGTTCTTCTCCTCTAAGAAGAGACTATGAGATAATTGTAGGACCTGTGGCATTCTCAACACACATGCAAATCTCCTCTCTGGGAGATTTCCAGGCTACAGATCCCATCTCAAACCTGAAAGTGACATAAAAATCTAGCTCTGATTTGTAAATGTGTGTTGGAGGGCTACAGCAGGGAGTTTGGGAGGGAAGATCTAGAAATGAGTGCCGTTAAGGAATGGAAGGGATAAATATCTGCTTTCCAGATTCACTCTTGATATTCCATCCTTTAGCCCCTGTTTTACTCCCTCACGTATTTTACAGATTTAATGAACATCTTCTCACCTCTTCCAGACCAAAGCTTCTCAGACTCTAACACGCATGTAAATCAGTTGGGGAACTTGTTAAAATGCAGATCGTGTGTGAGTAGTTCCAGGTGATGCCAGAGCTGCCTTTGTCACAAGACTCTGGTTGATGTCAGTACCGCTAAGGCCCGCACATTGATTAGTAAGGCTCCAGACCTGTTCAAGTCTGAGAGGTTCTGCTCTAGGTTCATCACTAGATAGGGATCATTTAGTAAATAATAACGGCAGCTGATATTTATTGAGTGCTCGCAACATTTAATCTCATTTAATCCTCATAACAATCTGATACTAAAGGTCCTCTTTTAATCTGTACTATTATTACAGAAGAGGAAGCAGAGGTTTTAGAGAGTTAAACTAACCTGCTCAAACTCACGTATCTGGTACAAGGCAAGGCTGGAATCAAACCCAGTTCTGCCTAAAGCCAAGCCCCAGGCCTGAATCCCTAGTATATCCTGCTTCCTGATATGAAAATGTTTTCCTGAAGCAGGAGCCAACTCACACCCTTCTCCAACCTACTTTGACTTACCTCTGGGAACCCTAACCATACCATAACCATAGAAATCTGACCTTTTCCTTATGAACTCCTTGGGATACATACATCATCACCACCCCCAAGCTTCTGCAGAGCTAAGTCTTGAAAGAGCACTCCTGAATGATAAGTCCTCCACTGTCAAGATCTCCCCCAGGTGCCTCCCCCAGTGATCCAGACACTACCAGAAACTCCCAGAAACTCCTTGTATGGTACCACACAGTGTCTAACTCCTTAACCGAGTCATCAAACATCAGTTCGCCTTCAAACATCAGTTCACCTGCCAAAACCCAGTCTGTGGTCAACGTACGTTCCTCCTGCCTGAGTGACCTGGTGGGGCCTTACTAACATGGGAAGGCTTCTCTGCATTTGGCCTTGTACTTAACTGCTCATAATGGACTTCTCACAGCTCAGGTGGGTGACAGATACCTGTTATCTGCTTTGGGTCCAGTTTAGTTTTTGCTCTCTTAGGTTTCCCCAAGCAAGTGGCCCGATGCCAGGAAGTTAGGCAACTTCTCCAGAAATCCCTTGGTATCCCCCCAACCTTAGAGTCACTGGCCTCCAGTGGGATACGAAAGTCAGTTCCTTCTAGTACAAACAGAACTGCGGGGTTCAGAGATTGCTCAGGGATGGGCTCCTTCATGTTCTAATCTTTTTCCATGTGCGGAAGCTAAGAAAAATGAAAGGACCTTGGGTGATCATAAAAGAATGGTAATGATGTTCATATAGAACACGTATTGGGGCATTTACTAGGCTCCAGGCTCTGTGCCAAGCCCTTCATATGCAACCTGATTCTTAACAGCTATGTCAAAAGGTGAACTTTCCCCATTTCACAGATGAAGACATGAAAAGGCAGAGGGTGAGTCACCAGCCTGAGGTCCCTTCATTATCCAAAGGCAGGCCAAGATTCTGACCTGAGACAGCTTGATTTCTGAGCCCTCAGTCCTAACCATGACTGTCAGCCTCGATCCTCCTAAGTTGCCCAAGCTGGTCATGAGCAAGTTCAGGCTATTGTGAAGGTTAGAGCCAGCTGTGATTCCTGGATGTTGACCAAAGATTAAACCCGGTGACCCCAGGCTGCTGCTCCCCCTGGTGACCTACCATACTTCTTAGGCAGTTATGTCTTCTGCTACAATATACAGCTATCTTCTGAGTGAGAGAAAACCCAAACACAGATGGTTTTCATCACTCCTTGCTGAAAGATTCTTACCACTGCCAAAGCCACTTTCTTCCTCCGTCATGGGGGACTCCTACAAATTCCTGGCACAGGCAATGAATGACTAGCTGTCTCCGTGGGTATCAGAATAAAGACCCAGAACAAAGACTTTGCACACAGAACATCCTATCCTAGAATGGGAGTTTGGCCATTTTACTTCATTTAAATGAGCAACGGTCTTTTGACTTTTTCTCGGCAGTCAACACTATGTACCCTTTATCCTTCCGGTGGCACCCATTCCTTCCTTCCCCAGCACCCTCAATAAATGACCATTTAGCTCATCTTCAGGGCACCCGGGTCAACCCCCAAAAGGTCTGTGCCAGTCTCAGGGCATCAGCAAAATTGCACCAGAGGAATGAAGCAGCAAGGGGACAGATGGACTCTGGTCCGTCGGTCTGGTCACAACTCAAACCGACACGAAGCTTTTGTACATAGAACATTTCCACTCCCTCTATCTCCCATTTACTTACAGGCATTATGAGGGCAAAGACTTGGTCTTTTCCCCCCTATTTTTGCCAGCCACAGGGCCTGCACCTTAAATAAATTAATTAATTAAATAAATTAAATTAAATAAATTCGTTCCTTAAAGGAAAAAAGTGATCTCTCCCCAGTAGTTAATTGTGTTAGAATTTCAATGCTCCTGACACTTCTACCATACTATGAGCTTTGTCAGCAGCCCTAGGAGAGGCTCGTGGATCTTAACAGCTTCCCCTTCAAATCCTCTGGGAAGTTCTCCAGGCTTTATCCCGTGAACTGTCCTCCTCCTTGGCCCTTTGGAGTTCAGATGACCCTAAACCCTGGTTCCATGTCCCTGAGGGACCACCATCTCCCTCCCCCATTCCTCGCCCAACTCAGATTTCACAGGCCTGCCTTATTAGCTCCCTTTCCCAGCCCCCATCCCTGAAAACTCCTCCTTGGCTTACATCCAGAACTTGTCTCCTCCCCCGCTTCCTGCTCCCTCCACTCACCTGGGAAGGGAGGTCAAGGCAGCAAGCTCTGTTTCTCTTCTACTGTTCTCTGCCCACTCTTAACACCCAGCAGGATGGCTTACATTTACTTTGCCCTTCGGCACGCGTCCCCCACAGCTGCCAGATCTCTGTGTTTAACAACAACCGTGATGAGGTTCATTTTCCTAATCCTTTCATGATCTACGAGATCCCAACCGTTATTGAGGTCTCTGTGGTGACTGAAATAGAAAGTGAGTCTGAGCACCTGTCCTGTTTATAGCTTCATCATCAAGATGATAATGTCACTCATTAATGTCTATTATATGACAGATGCCATGCTGAACGCCTTACAGATATCATCACCAATACCCATAACCCCACCTTTAGATACACAGCATTCACCCCATTTTACAGAGGAATAAATGGAGGCACCAAAGACTCATTTCACTTCTCCTGAAGTCACCCTTTCGACACATCGTTTAGCTGCAATGTGAAACCAGGTCTCTCTCACTTCGAAGTCTGAGATGCCTCAGTTGCCTTAAAGGTTCTCCAGACAGCTTGTTTTCACGAACCACTGGCCTTTTGCCTGTTTGCTGTACAGCTTTTACTCACTCAGAACTTCAGGGAAGATTGTCAATGAACCTGCCACTCCCGGGATCTCTTGTACCCAGTCCTAGGAGGTGTCACTGCTGAAAACCACCGGGTGCAGCCTAATCTCCGGTCACATGACCTCCTTGGTGGACCGCTGTGGCCAATCATTTCCGCCTGACTCCATCTCATCCCTCTCCCGAATTGCTAAGCAATGGGTGACAGGCCCCTGGAACTCAAGGCTAGGGGGAGCAGACAGTATCATGGGAGGCTCCCACAGAACAGTCACAAAAATTCCTATTTTCTAGAAACATTGTTGAGTAAAAGTCATTACTTCCAGTGGATCCGAAGTTGAGGCTGGGCTTCCTAATAGTGGCTTCTGCATTCTACCGGCATTTCTCCAAAATGAAGATCCAAGTAGTTGAAAGATAAATGACTTGAGGCAAACGTTGCCACTCCTGGACTAAATGAGCAATCATACTGAATACATTTTTAGCATTCAGTTTTCCCCACCGGTAAAATGGGGCTGCTAATGCCTTCCAAGACAGGTTTGTCGGCAATAATTAGATCCTATATTATGAGATGCCTGACACATATTAGGTGTTCAAGCAGATGTCTTCCCTCCCCTGAGCCTGGGTCACACTCTCCCGGACACCTGTCTTCCCAAGGCCAGACACTGGGTGAATGTAAGTCGGGAAGCGTTAACCACAGACAGACAAATGTTAGGCATGTGTCTAGTAAACAACAGCCTTTGAACATCATGTGGAGGGAAACTTTTTGCAGAGAGGAAAGATCGACCCTGGTCTCCTCATTGTAAAATCCCTTGTTGGCTGTCTCCTAGACACGGGCTAAATGTTTTATCTCGAGTCCGTAAAGAACAATTTCGTTAATGAGACTCATTAGAAAGAAGACCAGCCTGAGTCTGTGAGAGTCAAGAATTATGGATTATTTAAAAATGAAAAACAGTTTTTGTTCTTGGATACATAGAGAAAATCGAATCCAGAAAAGGTCTGGGTAGTTGAAATTCTGCCAGGCTTCTTAAGGCCAAGAAAGAAAGGTTTATAATTATAAGCACCATTTACATAAAACTATTGCTATATTTGAGATCATTTGGGCTGTTAAAAAACAGATTGTTCCCATGAAATTATAAACGTTTCTGCTACTATCACAATTTTGTGCCATTTACCATGGCATTCTGGAAGGAACGTACATGAGCAAAGGTAGATTAAAGTCTGTTTCTAGGAGTCGCACTCAAGCCCTGTTGAGTTTGTTGGGCTCGAGTTAACGAGGTCTCTTCTCTGACCTGCCCTTAACTGGTGCGATCACTGCTAAGATGTTCTTCCAACATTTCACCAAATCTCTCTGGATTGTGTTTAGTTTTTAGAGATGTTCCTATTTCCTTATTCCTTCCTATCATCACCCTGGCATTTTCCTTGAAATAATTTTAATAACCCCCACTTTTGTTAAAGAATCATGATTACGGAGAACAGCTCAACAGAGGGAGAAATCATGCACAGAGTAAAAACCACCAAATACTAGTGCTATCTGTATGCGGAGGGGAGGAGAAACTAATAATTGCTCAAGCCCACAATATCTGAGCAATCACAGTGGTAAAAACATGTCCCGTCTTTCCCCCCACCTTCCCTTTGCTTTAGTGTTTTGTTTTGTTTTTTGTATTTTTTGTTTTGCCTAAGAAGGGATTGCAGTCTTACAAAAATTTAAGTTTATCTCTTTACTCCTTTTTTTAGTTCCACAAGTACAAATAAGAGCCAGAAAGTTTTTAAATGGAAAGTCCCTATTTTTTCCCACAGTCCTAGATCTTATTAATATAATGGTTAAAATGATTTAACTCAAATTCGGATTCCCCCAAACTAAAACAAGCCATTATCATTGAGTTGTAATCAGAGAAGTGATGGAAATTTTCAAGGCAGACAGAAGTCATCATGTTTGTAAATGGAGGGTAGAGACATTAACTTATATGGTCTTAATTCTAGTGGCTGATATTACAAAAACTTCTTAATTATACCGGTAATTTAAAAAATACTTGCTGTCTGAGAATGCTTAAGTGGTTTTGGTCTCAGAACTAGAGTGAAAAATCTCTGAGGTTGGGCTAAACACACTCTTATTTACCAAATGTGGGCAAATTTCTTTCATGTGACTGGGGGCAGTGACAGTCGTGAGATTCTCATTCTGAGTCTATCCTTCCGCTACTATGGGCCTTCCTTCTGGGTGGTCCCGGTGGCCGGCCACTCTCGGCCTTTGAAGCATGGTATTCCTACGCACGCCTTGTCCCAACACTGAGACATCCCTCACATAGGTTGCCTGCCCAAAAAACATACAACCTACTCCAAACAAGAGCGATTTGGATAATCCTTGTAAAAATGGGAAATGATCCACTTGCCATGTATCTTTTGAAATCATTTTAACGTAAGCATGGCAGGTGGAGAAAGGCTTGGACCACAAGGTCAGCGAGCAGCTATTCCAACAGGATTCTCTTTGAAGAGCCCCCCACCCCACCTCAGCAAGTACATTTTACTGCTCAGTCGTATTTCTGGCATCTGCTTCCTCTTTACTGCTGGTGGAGGTAGCAGGAGTCACGAGAACCTGTAGACACCACTTTTCTATCTCAATAAAGAACACTACTGCTGCTAAATTTCACAGCCAAGGAAGAAACACACCTGCCTCATCTTGTGTAGAGCGACAATTGCATGATGAGAACCTTCCAGTCTTTCCTATTGACTTTGAGTAGCCTGAAAAGAGAGAAGCTGTCTGGGATTATGTACATGGTCAATCAGGCAGCTTTACTGACAAAGGTTCAAAGCCTGCTGGGAGACCCTGAGAGCAAGATTCTCCCTCAAGCCCCACGGGGCCAGCCGGAGAGCTCAGGTCTGGACTACGATCATAGTTCTCCATCCCTTGACAAAGGAACGTGGTCTTCTCTCCTGTCTCTGCGAAGTAGCGCTAACGTGCGCAGACATCAGGATCTTACCTTCGAGCTACACTTGTACAATGGGTGACTGATAGAATCAACATAGTGATGCCTCATGCAGCGTAGAGGGTCCGAGTCCATCATGAAGGAGCTGTCCGTTTTGCTGTCCGTATCTCCCATTAGCGCCAGCAGGGAGAGCATAGAAAAGGATGCAGCTAGTACATGATTTCTCATTGTTGTAAGGAAAAACTTCGGAGAAGGGACAGCAGAGGGAGGCAGAGGACTAGGAATGGGAAATGCCTTCGCCTCCTAGGATCCAGTCCCTTTCGAGCAAAGGGCAGGATCCGGCTGAAGCTTTCTGGTTGTCATTGTCCTTTGTAGGCCTCCCGAGTCTTGTCTTACTCTTTCCACTTGCAATCCATCATCGCGAGATCTGCTGCACAGCTGGAATGAAAACAGAAATTATTTTCCCTGGGGAACATTTACCCAGAAAAACGAGTGGAACCCAGGGGGTATGGAGTAGAATTTTTCCACGTCATTTTGAATGACAGCGGTTGGTTTCTCGAGCGCCGTTAGCATAGTCCATCGCCCATTCTAACCCGCTCCCTCCCCCAGAGCTTATTTGTAACCATTCAGAGGTGGACACCGTGGTTTAGTGGAAGCACATGTTGACTTTAATTGCCAGAGTCCATGTTTCGAGGAGCAAGAAGAGTTGGAACTCATGGTAAAGATTAGACATGTGGTTCTGGCCCCAGCACAACTGCATTGGGTGGTCTCATCTTTATCCCTGGCTTGGCAGTGGGGGAGGGTCTATTCAGTTTCTCAATGATCTCTGGTGTCAACATCAGCTCACAGGGCCAGAAAACAGACAGGTCAGCGCTAATGAACACAAGCCACATCCCACGGGAAAGAGGTATATTTTCCATTTCCAAGTCCATTACCCACCCACCCACCTACTTTTCCACTAGGGCTCATCCTGCTCTAGGCTCATCCTGTTTTTGGTGTAAGCCCCGTGCCCCCCAGCATCAGTGGCAAACAGCATCTGAAATACACATTATGCTAACTGGCCTCCAGTGTGATTAAAGCAACACGTACGTATTCGCCAAAGAGTCACACATTTCGGCAGAGCCTTATAGCCTGAGCACACGGCCTAATTTGAAAAAGGAAGTGGTGGTTAGAGCAAAGACTTACCAGTAAAATGGGATCAGGGCCGATAGGGGCCTGGAAATCTGCTTTGTTCTTTTAACCATATGCATCTTGGACAAAGCGGAGAGCGCTGCGCATCACCTCACCAACCCTCCTAAGCCTGGCCAACGTGGGTGCTTTTTATCACACCAGAAGACAGAGTGTCACAAATATTTTCAAACATTTATGACAACTGCGGAGACCTGTCATTGCATCCCAAACAAAAGGAAGATAATAATTAAAGCCTCAGAAAAAAGTTTTGAAAGTATTTCAGGTAAGAGTTTGTTCTGTTCATTGTACAACATTTTTTTTTTAAATTTCCTACTCATGGATGGTCCAAATAAACAGGGCAAAGTATTAATAAGATCAAGATTAGAAGTTCAAGTCCAGGGGTGCCTGGGTGGCTCAGTCAATTAAGCATCTAACTTCAACTAAGGTCCTGATCTCAGGGTCCTGGGATAGAGCCCCGAGTCTGGGTCCCTTCTCGGCAGGGAGCTTGGTTCTCCCTCTCCCTCTGCAGACCCCCTGCTTGTGCTCCTGCACACTCTCTCTCTTAAATAAATAACTTCTTTTTAAAAATTAAAAATAAGGGTGACTGAGTGGCTCAGTCGGTTAAGCATCTGCCTTCCACTCAGGTCATGTCCCGGGCTGAAGCCCCAAGTTGGGCTCCCTGCTCGGCGGGGAGTCGGCTTCTCCCTCTCCCTCTGCATACCCTGCCCCTCTCAAATAAATAAAATCTTAAAAAGAAGAAGGAGGAGGCGGAGGAGAAGAAGTTCAAGTCCATATAAATCAATTAGTTTGGTTCCAATAGAATGGCCCCAGACCCACTTAACCTCAGTTAGCTTTCTTGTGAGTGTGGGGCAGGGGATCCTAGACTGAAAATGGAGTGTGGCAAAGGGCCGTTTCAGACAAGAGCATCCCTGGCAATGGGAAAATCTCAGCGCATATGTGTCAGAGAAATCCTATAAATTGCAGGACCAGCAGGGACCAGTAATGAGGAGACCCACTTGGTCTCAAGCCCTGCCCTTGAGTAACTGGGAGACCTGGCTCACGGCATTTAAACAGGTGTGGCCCCAGTTTCCTCACCTGTAGAATAAGAAAAATGGAAAAGATGGAGTCTGTAGTGCCCTCTTGCCCTAAAATGACACCGCCTGGTACTTACGGATCCAGTCACCACCATCTCCATAGGCAGAAGATAATCCTGAAGTTAAGAGCGTATTTTCATACAACTCTGCACCACTTTCCCTCATGAACATGCTAATTGCAGCATCTCATTGAAATTGATCAAACCTGAGCTAAAGCTCCGAATTGGCAAGAGATGCCAAAGAGTATTTTTTGTTTTCTCTTCAGCTGCATATCACACTGAAACTCACCAAGATTTCAACTCAAAGAGCCAGAGCTTTCTTGGATTCAATGTTCAGAGGCTGCCGTATTACTGACCATTTCCTGAGTTTCAATATGACTATGTTATCCCAAGTGGTTATCTGACTCTTTGAAGCCTTAATTAGTCTCAGAAAAGGAATTTATTAGATTTCTTCTTTCACCACTCCAGTCTATCGATATTTCCCCCAGGAGTCAATGGCAAAGGGATGAAGGGAAAAGTAGACATTCCAGTCCTGGCCCTCCCTCTCCCCTTCAGAGCCATGACCAGGAGGTATGGTTAAATGAAAGAAGCAAATGAAAAGAAAACATACAGCTTGATGGCAAAAATAAGCAACAACAATCAATAACAAGACCCTATATATGTGAATGTTTAGACCCAGATAGTCCATCTCTGAGAATTATCCTACATGTGCGATCTCACTAGCATGTGATTAATTAGTTCGGCATTGGTCATCACAGCATAAAATTGGAAACCGCACAAAATACCCATCTCTATTACACAACACTCATACCCTGGAATACTATGCAACTGTATAAAGAAGGGTGCAGAAACTCTACTGATGTGTGCTATACCAGGAAGGGTAAGAACATATATTTGTGTTCATTGATATTTACACAGAGAAGCTCTGGAAGGTTATTCGAGAAGCTACACAATTAGTTATGGACAGGTATGGGAGAAAGACTTTCACTGTATACATACATTTGAATTTGTAAATTTCTGAATTTGTGAATGTATTACCTGTCTAAAACTTCATTTAAAAAATGTGTACTTTCTGGGACGCCTACGTGGCTCAATCGGTTAAGCGGCGGCTTTCGGTTCAGGTCATGATCCTGGGGTCCTTGGATCAAGTCTCGTGTCAGGCTCCTTGCTCAGCAGGGAGCCTGCTTCTTCCTCTGCCTGCTGCTCCCCGCCCCCGACCCCCACTTGTGCATTATGTGCTTTCTCTCTGACAAATAAATAAATAGAATCTTAAAAAAAAATTGTACTTTCTCTTTCCAAACTTGGCTTAAAAATACTAATTAAATTAATGGATGTTGAATGTTTGTGCCAGTTTGAGTATTTTAGTAATATTATATTTTTATTTCTTACAAATTTTGGAAGACATGCTAGTTAGTCTTTTCTCAGTCTTCCTAGTGGATCATTTAATTCTTAAGCGGTACTGCCACCTAGTAGCGACATCTTGAATTGCAAGCACAGTTGAATTTTTTTTTTCTTGAAAGTTGAATAAAAGTTTTGCAGACAAGTGTTGTGAAGCGTATAATGATAAAGAGACAGTTAATGTCACACAAAATATAACTTTATTATCTGATCTTCTCTTTAAAGATGATAAGCTGAACCCAGATGTAGTAATAAAGATAAAGTAGAAAAACATGTCAGAGAAAATGCTGCTTGACTGCTAATAAGAAATACACTTTTCAGGTCAACACACTCACAAAGCATGGTACTTTTGTTCAGTTTTTATATTAAACTCTGAAATAATTCAAGCAACGATGTAAACAGACCACAGAACTCACTGAACTCTCAAAACATAAAGGTAAAATTCTTGCCACTTAACTTTGGGATTTTCACCCAAAGTGTTCACATCATATGAAGAAAGAAATAAGCATAATGCTCGAAAACCGAGTGGCATGAAGTCAGATTCGTCTGAACTTGGTGTTGGTGGGGTGTGCCCGGATGAGAAGTGCACGGCGCTGAGAGCAACACTCACAAAAAGGAGAATCAAAATGAAGGAAATTCCCATCACTTGAGATCCGATTTATGACAGCCTAGGGGTATCGTCTTGTCTTGTCAGAGCTTCGGGCATGTTCCTCAAAATTAAATTAATTCCCATTTGCTTTCATTTTTTTTAAAGCCACGGATCATAAAAACCAAGCACTGCCCATCAAGACTTAGAAACTCGGCCCAGCCAGTGATGGTCTGACTAAGAAAGCAACTCACTTGCTGAACTTGGGAGCTCCGGGGCTGCTCCATGCTCTGGGTACAGCCTCTGAGACATGGACTTGGCGGATGTACAGAGCCCACATTCTCATAGCTCCGATGTGGAGCCTCTGCCGGCAGGAGAGGCACGTAGGCCGGCGTGCCCGACTTTGGAGCTACCCTCCAAACGATACCAGTGGAAAAGAACAACTGGTGCCCAGATTTCCCCACCTGTCATCCTCAGGGAAATAATATAGCAGAGCTCACAGCGGGCTCAGCCTCCTGGGTGAGAGATGGTGTTGTGTCCACAGAGCAGCTCACTCTTGGGCTGACCTTCTGCCTGGCAGAGGGTAAAGTGCTGGTTTCACGCAAGTTATTCCAGCAACAGGCTAAGACCAGGGGTATGTGCCAAGAATGGCCTTATTCTTGCCCCGCTTGCCAGGCAAGGGAGGGTGGAGCTTTGGTATCCGGATTCCCACTCTGGGCTGTTTTCAGTATTAATACATGCACGTAATGCCTCCCATGGCTTCTTTCTACAGATATTTATTGAACACATATTCCGTAAGCATTTACTAAGTGTCTCCTTTTGCTCTAGCAGATAACAGTTAAGGGTCAGCAGGGAAAAAAATAAGTCCTGTTCTAATGCCTTCTTCTAGCTCACCGCATCTACAAGCAAAGAGTCTTGGCCTGTTGTTTCCTGGGTGACTTTTTTGGACCCAAGGGTAAACTCCCTCACCACCTAATTCATATCCAACATGCACTGCATCATTTCTAAGAAGATCAAGTTCAGCAGATAAAATATCATGACTTTGGAATGGTGTCAGCGTCACAGACAAGAGTGATTTGATATTTACTCTCATTTCAGACAATCATATCAGGCCTGAGTCAGGTAGAGAGGGCAGAACCAAGAGCCTCTCTCCAAGGAATCGCCAAAAATAAAAATCAAAGGTTTAAGTGT